TGAGAAGAGCAGCTGCTTACAGTTTAGAATTGAAGCGACCGTTATCCAACTGAATTAAATTATTTTTATTTCTATAAAAAAAGCTAAACGACAGTGGAGTAATGTAAACGTAACGGTGGCATATTCTGTGCTAATTTCACCCTCACACTCCGTCATGGCGATATCGCAAGAGCTTTTCACCTCAATGAGAAATCTTGTCTCAATCTCAATTCACATCTCGTGGCACAAGATCTCATCACACCCCTAGTAGTAGTATATAATTAACACAATATTAATTTATATTTATAATATAAATTAATAAAATAATATTTATTACTAGTTATATTGATAGTCGTTGATATTCATATTGTTGATGATAATTTTTTTAAACTATTTGACATATTACAGGCAATTTTCCTCCTCCCACTACTCCTGAGGAGCTGGGTGCTCGCATCCTGATCCAGGAGCGTTATGAGAAGTTTGGAGAGAGTGAGGAGGTGGAGATGGAGGTTGAGAGTGAAGATGAAGAGGATAAGAGAGTGGGCAGGGTGGTAGGACATGCAACTCAGTTAGACCAGGACACACAGCTGCAGGACATGGACGAGGTGAGACAACCAGCATGATCATATCAATGGGACGAGGATGTTACATGTTCACATAATGTAACAAATGAGCAGTTCATAGAAGTGGGTTAACTAACACCGACTGACCTGTTATTCCTCTCTCAATAGGGCTCTGATGAAGAGGATAATGGCATGAAGGCTCCTCTACCCCCTGATAACCCTGTGCCACCACCTCTGCCCCCCACCCCGGACCAGGTTATCATCCGCAAAGACTATGACCCCAAGGGTAAAGGCATTTTTAAACACACACTTTAACATACTAGAACAGCAAATATTTCATTGAATCCACTCACTTTCCATCTCATCTTTCTTTCAGCCTCTAAGCCTCTGCCTCCTGTGGTCGCCCCTGGAGAATACCTCATCTCTCCCATCACTGGTGAGAAGATCCCAGCCAGTAAGATGCAGGAGCACATGCGCATCGGCCTGCTGGACCCCCGCTGGCTGGAGCAGCGTGACCGCAGCATCCATGAGCGTCAGATCGAGGAGGAGGTGTACGCTCCGGGCCTGGACATTGAGAGCAGCCTGAAGCAGCTGGCCGAGAGACGTACCGATATCTTCGGTGTGGAAGAAACGGCCATTGGTAAGAAGATCGGAGAGGAGGAGATACAGAAACCAGAGGAGAAGGTAAGAAAGAAAAAGAAAAAAATTATATCCGCTGTTCAACATTGTAGTAGACAAATTAATTAAACTAGTGTTCTAAAAGTCTGCAGGACCAAAACAATGCCCGTTGTTGAGAAACCCATAAACACTTAAACCAGATCACTAAAACAAATTATTTAACCCTCTGGTGATCCTTAAAGAATAATTATTATTAAAAACATATAGCACATTAATAAAAAAAAATTATGCTTATTGTGCTTATTGTCCTTGGTGCCCCCTTAGTGAGGATTACCAGAAGGTAGTAGTGTTCATCTAACACCCCTTCCTCTTACTCTGCAGGTCACATATGGTGGTTCCTGCTGGTGAGTCTTTGGAATAACAGATCTGTTGCGTAGCTACTTGTAATTTAAAAATGAATTTAAATAAATATTCAACAGACATTTCTATATTAAATATATAAAAAAAGTAACATAATAATAGTAGAATTTATATTATATAAATAATGATATTGTTATTTAATAAACCTTTTGTTATATAATTGTAATAATAATTACCAATACATAATTTAATAATTGATTTAATAAATAATTTAATAATTATATTAATTTTGTTAATAATAATAATTTTGCTATAATTAATCAATCTCTTTTGTTTTGTAGCATTTGTACCTGCTCCCCCTGTGCCTCAACCTCCCAGCGCTGTTGCCGCCCCCATGCCTCCTGCCCATCCTCCACCTCCTCACGAGGACGAGCCTTCCAGCAAGAAAATGAAGACCGAGGACAACCTGATTCCAGAAGAGGAGTTCCTGCGCAGGAACAAGGTACATTGCTGCTGCAGCAAACTGTTTTGTGTGCAGTTAGCAATTCATATTTTTGAACTGTTATTACATAAGGGTCATCTGTTAATCATTTTAATTTTACCTTTGCTCTCTTTTAGGGACCTGTTGCAGTCAAGGTCCAGGTGCCCAACATGCAGGACAAGACAGAATGGAAGCTGAGTGGCCAAGTGCTGAACTTCAGCCTGCCTCTCACAGACCAGGTAAAGAGTTTGCCTTTAATCTCATATCTGTATGCACCATTTGTACACATTTTAACTACTAATCGTTAGAATTATACAAAACATGTATAGAATTCATGAAAATGTGAGCTAATCAAATGCCATACTGTGCCTCAGGTGTCTGTCATCAAGGTTAAGATCCATGAAGCCACCGGTATGCCGGCTGGAAAACAGAAACTGCAGTACGAGGTAAAATATGTCAGTTGAATGAGATGGTTATTTTATTTAAACTCTGAATGCTTAAAAGAACAAGGCATCTTAGTTATGACATTACTAAATATAAAAGTACTTGCTTTGAAAACTCAGATCTGCTGTTGTGTTGATTCTCCAGGGAATTTTCATCAAAGATTCCAACTCTCTGGCCTATTACAACATGAACAATGGATCTGTCATCCATCTGGCCCTTAAGGAGAGAGGAGGAAGGAAGAAGTAGATCGCTCATCTTCTCTGTTTCAATCCTCCACATTAATTATTGTGCTTATAATCCTGTTACTTTTGTACACTTAAAAGAACGTGTGCTGTGCTCTGTAGAAAAACAATTCAAAGTAATCAGTGTCTTGTGATTATCCTACATTCAGTGCATGAATAATTAAATAACACAGAACATTTAATATTGTCTCCTAGCAAACTGCCCTTTTTTAGTCTCACTTTTTATTGAGGTGATTGTGTTAAATATTTGCAAATCTATAGTTTAGCTTTGAAACATTACATTTTGTCGGATGCATAATAAATACTTGTCTCTTTGGAAAACCTACCTACTAAATTTCAGTAAGAAATGTTATTAGCCATACTGTCTTTTTTTCCCCTCACAAATATTGCCATTACTTATTTTTCATATTACATTCTCAATTTTGGGCGGCGTGAATAAAGAGATGATCTGAAATAATTG